TAGCAGGGATTGTGGGGCTGGTGCGGGATCGGGCAGTGTTTCGTTCTGCTGTGCATGGGGTCGCTATGAGTCGGAAACGACTCGACAGCACTTAACAACAACAACAACATCACTACCGAAGTAGATTGCCCTATCTTCCTTCTGAGGAGTGGCTGGTGGGTTTGAACTGCCAGCCTTCTGGTTAGCAGTCAAGTACCTTAGGCACTACGCTACCAGAGCTCCATGGTTGTCCACAAGCTTTACAATGCATAACACTGTGATTTTAATTGGAGTTTAATCCATATATTGCTATAGAAAATTCTGAGTGTTTGCAAATGAGAAGGCTAGTTTCCAGGGAGTTGGTAGTAACCTTTCTGTTCTGATTCCACCAAAAGTCAAGATTCTCTCCTGTTTCCTCCAGGTCTGCGGGCACTTTTATCACCTGCCAAATGTGGAATTTCTTCATCAGGCAGATATAGGGGATCATGGAAGGTGTGACTTGTACCAAGAGTTTTTCTCTTTTACTTTTCTAGAAACATCTTTTCCCTCCTCTTATCCTTCCTTCTCTGTTTTAATTATTTTCAGTCTCTTCAAGAGTTATATGTTTCTTCTTTAAGATAGTTCACATTTCATTGCAGTCAGTGACATGAGTTCATATTCCATCTTACTCCACAGGGCACTTTAAGAGGTTTTCTTTTTTTTTTTTTTTCTTTAAAGCAGAATAAGACCTTAATCTAGAGCACTCTTGTGTTCTGCTTAATTTTTTGTTCCTTTTGTTTGCAGGTTCAAGTCACCATAGTAAATGAGGTGTTTCCTAGGATTATCTGTAAATATGGCTTTATTTTTAACTATGGTGAGATTACATTTACCTAGTGTCAGCAGGAGGTCTGGTGGTGTAGTGTCTAAGGTATTTGACTGCTAACCAGAAGGTGGGTTGTTCAAACCCATCAGCCACTCCTCAGAAGGAAGATTGGGCAATCTATTTCTATAGTGATACCGCTTCGGAAACCCGAGGAGGGGTAGTTATGAGGTGGATCCAACTTGACAGCAGTGAGTTTGGTTTTTTGGTTTAGTGTCAGCAAGAATTCATATTTCACATTTGAATTCCTGATACCGGTCACCTTTTCATGTTGGATTTTTGCATGGTACTTAATCATTTATTATTTGTGCTTTACAGGTTTGTTGTATCCTGTACAGCCTGGAAATCTTGTGGAGAGACTGATGCAGGAAAGCTGGTTCACCTGGTTTTTCAAGCCTTCCAGGATATGATGCAGCTGATCAACCCAGCTCAGCTATAGAGACTAATCATTTATTATCCCACTCAAACCCCTTGTCATCAAGTTGATTCTGACTCATAACAACCCTGTAGGACAGCATAGAGCTTCCCCATATGGTTTCCAAGGCTGTAATCTTTACAGAAGCAGGCTGTTATGGAGTGGTTGGTAGGTTTGAACTGCCCATCTTTCATTCAGCAGCTGAGTACTTAATCATTGTTCCACCAGTGCTCTTCATTTATTAAGTACTTGCCAAAATATGTCAGTAAACTGGGTGTTGGGAAAAGATTGGTGATTTGAGATGGGTAGGAAACTTGTTAGATGAAGAAATTAGAAGAATCATGTTTCCTAAATATATTCTGCTGTAGAAGGTAGAGACTATTTTAAGATCCTCTGATGCAGCAACAGTGCAAATTATGATACACAGTGAGTCTCAACACCAAACCAAACTCACTGCCATTGAGTCGGATCCAACTCATAGCAACCTCTCCTTGGGTTTCTGAGGTGGTATCTCTACGGAAGTAGATTGCCCAAACTACCTTCTGAGGAGTGGCTGGTGGGTTTGAACCACCAACCTTCTGGTTAGCAGTCAAATGCCTTAGGCACTATGCCACCAGAGCTCCTTTGGTGAGTCTAGAACTATGCAATGTTTAAGACATGCCTCACCAATGCAAAACTACAAAATTTTAACAATGCAAGTCTTACTTTAATTTTAAGATATTTTTATTGGTACTTACACAGGTTATTAAATCATTTCTCTGAGCACCTTGCAAGCATTTTAACACTTTCTAGTTGCCAAAGGATATGAAATACATAATTGGATATTAATTTCCCTGAAATCAGAGTCTTCCACATTCACCACAAGGATACCTTACTATGATTGATGGGAAAGACCACTACAATTTAATGGTGATCTTGAAAACAGTTTCTGTTGAACAGGCAGAAAAATTTGGTTTAGTAGGGAAGTTTATACCCCCTAATGAGTCAGGGCTGACTCGACGGCAAACAACGACGAACGACAACGAACACACACAAAGCAGTCCTGACAAAATTAATAATAATATATGGATGTTGTAATTAAGTCCTCTGAATATAAAGCACATGTTTAAAATTGTTTTGGCTAATAAATTATAAAGGTTCACATGTTAAGTCATAATCTTATGACCTTTCAGGATTTATTTTCTTTGCTCTTTGTTTAATTTTGTAGTTTATGCTTTCAGAAAACAAAACTACTAGAATAATACTGCTTCATATCCTGTGTCTAAATAAGTGATTCATTCCTGTTTGATCTTATTATGCCTTTTGATCTCAGTTATCTATTGCTATATAATAAACCATCCTGAACTTAGTGTCTTAAGACAACTGTGTATTTCTCATGATTGTGTCAGTTGAATATGCCCCATTGGATGGTTCTTCTGCAAGTTTTGCATGAGGATCTTTGTGTCTGTAATCATCAGGCTGCTGGACTGAGGCTGGAAGGTCTAAGACGGCTTCACCCACAGATCTGACTTGTTGGCTGGTCCTCTCTATGTATGGTCTCTGATCATTCAATATTCTAGAATGGGTTTCCTTACTTGGTGGTAAGAAGGTTCAAGAGGCAAAGCTAGGAGTTGCAAGGCCTCTTGAGGCTGAGTCTTTGAAGTCACATAATGTCACCTCTGCTATATTCAAGCGGGCAAAACAAGTCCCAAGTCTAGCTCAGATTCAAAGGGTAAGGGAAAATTCTCATCTCTCAATAGGAGTAGCAGCAAAGTCACTTTGCAAAAGGGACACAAGAGGACATGACTTATTGGGGGCCATTTTTGTAACAATTTAACACATTTAATACAAAGATTATATTTAGTGCACTGGTTGTATACACCCCATTTCCCCCTGCATTCTCATTATATGCTTTGAATTTGATAAATCTGGTTTATTGTCATTACTAGTCATTATGATAACATACTTACTAACTTTTATAACTGTATCAGGCATTATCCTAAGGAGTGACAGTAGTTTCATTGTAAAAACACTCAGTTGGTGACTGCCATTTGGTGTCCTTCACAGTTATGACAATTATAGGAGCCATTGTTGGTTATGACTCATAGTTAACACTATGTACAAGAGAACAGAACACTGCCCAGTCCTGGACCAGCCTCACAATTGTTGCTCTGCTTGAGTCCATTGTTGCACCCACAGTGTCAGTCCATCTCATTGAGGGTCTTCCTCTTTTTCACTGACCCTCTACTTTACCAAGCTTGATGTCCTTCTCCAGTGTGTTAGGCTAGGTTCTCTAGAGAAACAAAAACAGTAAAGCTTATATATATGTAAATATAGGGAAATTTCTCTTAGGAAAATTGCAGCTTATAGAAGCTGGCAAGTCTAAAGTTCCTGGATCAAATGTCAAGCTGGAGGCTTTTCCACATCAAGCTGGAGGCTTTTCCCTATTCTTGCAGTCTCAGGGGCTGAGGAGCTCAAGGCTGGCAGGCAGTACACCAGCTGTTGACTCCAATGAACGATGAATCCAAGATCTCCAGGCAGAATGGTGGATTGTTCACTCACGGACAGTTGTAGGTAGCACAACAGAATTCCAATCCACAGAAGAATGTCTCTTTTCCTAGGATGTCCACAGATATACTGGAAGCAGGGCACACCCCTAGGGAAACTCCCTTTCAACAGATTGGCTGCTCAAAACATAATCTTCTGATCCCATCATGGGAATAACCACATCACAACAACTTAAACAACACAGAATTGTGGTCCAGCCAAGTTGACACACTCCAACTATCACATCCAGGAACCAAGTCCCTCCTGATAACATGTCCACGGTAAATTAGATGAAGTCCTGCCATCCTAATTTTTAAGGAGTATTCTAGCTGTACTTCTTCTAGGACAGATTTGTTTGTCCTTTGGGTAGTTCATGGTATATTCAATATTGTTCACCAGCACTGTAATTCAAATGCATCAATTATTTGGTCTTCCTTATTGTTTGTACAGTTTTCACACGTATATGAGGGGATTGCAAATGCCATGGCTTGAGTTGTTGTTGTTAGGTGCCACTGAGTCATTTCCGACTCATAGCGACCCCATTCACAGCAGAATGAAACACTGCTCAATCCCGCGCCAGGTTCATGATCCTTGCTATACTTGAGCCCATTGTCACACCCACCGTGTCAATCCATCTCGTCGAAGGCCTTCCCCTCTTTTTGTCTCACCACCTTACCAGGCATGACATCCTTCTCCAGGGAATGGTCCCCTCTGACAACATGACCAAAGTAGGTGAGACAAAGTCTGGCCATCCTCGCTTCCAAGGAGCATCTTGGCCGCACTTCTTCCAGGACAGATCTGTTAGTTCTTTTAGCAGTACATGGTACCTTCAGCATTCTTCGCCAGCACCACAACTCAAAAGCATCAACTCTTCTTTGGCCTTCCTTATTCATTGTCCAGCTCTCACATCCATACGAGGTGATTGGAAATATCATGGCCTGTGTCAGGTGCACCTTAGTCCTCAAGGAGACATCCTTGCTCTTCAGCACTTGAAAGAGTTCCTTTGCAGCTGACCTGCCCAGTGCTCCAAATCGTCTAATGTCCTGACTGCTGCTTCCATTGGCGTCGATTGTACAACCAAGCAATGTGAATTCTTTGACAACCTCAATCTTTTCTCCATTTATCATGATGCTGCTTATTGGGCCAGTTGTGAGGACTTTTGTCTTCTTTATATTGAGATGTAATACATACTGTAGACTGTGTTCCTCAATCTTCATCAGTAAGTACTTCAAGTCATCCTCACTTTCAGCAAGCAAAGTTGTATCATCTGCATATCTCAGGTTGTTAATGATTCTTCCTCCAATCCTGATGCCACGTTTTGCTTCATATAGTCCAGCTTCTTGGATTATTTGCTCAGCATATAGATTGAATAAGTATGGGGAAAGGATACAACCCTGATGCACTCCCTT